ATTCTTGTTTAGAGTTGTTGTCATTTCATTGTTTGTGTTGATTTCTTTTGAAGATTTTTTGCATTACCTCTTGCCAAAAGGTTCTTATCATAATTGAGTCTTATACTAGTTTTGAAACTATGAAGGGTTCTATGAGAACTCATCTTTTCTATGTACTTTTTTGTTTCTTAGAAAAAATTGCCTAAAAAGAAAATTTTTAAGAATTTTGGGATCTGTGAGAAGAAGTTTTTTTTTGTCTTAAAACAATTTGTATAATAATATCAAAAATTATTTTTATTTATTTTTTTAGTTTATATTTTTTAATAATAATTTAATTTTTGATAATTATAAAATATTTAAAAATATTTATTTTATAAAATTTAAAAGAAAAAAAATAAATAATATAGTATTAAAAATATTTTATTGAATTAAATATAGTCCACTTGCTATGTTTTTATTATAAATTTCAGCTTTGACAATTTTTAAATCATGGATTATACAGTTAAAAATTATAAAGTTATATATATTATGTCTTAATACTCATTCTATTTTATATATTTTTTAAAAAAATTTTTTATTAATATATTTCAAAGTTTTATTATTGTTAAATATTTTTATTTTTTATTAATTATCATACGATTTATGATAAAAGTCAATTAAAATCCTTTAAAAGTAAAAATTTAATAAAGAAAGAAATTTTTTAACAATAATAAAATTTTAAAAATTATATATAAAAAAAATTTTTTTAAATAAATAAAACTAGTATTAAGATATAATATATATAAATTTTATAATTTTTAATTATATAATTAAGAATTTAAAAATTAATAAAATTGAAATTTATAATAAAAACATAGTAATTGGACTCAAACTTTTGGAAGCAACCATATAATAAAAAAATAAATAAATATAAGATTAAATTTTGAAAAATTTTATTTATTATTTTTATTTACTTATTTTTTAGATTTTTTATTTACTTATAATTATTATTTTTTAGATTTTTTATTTATTTATAATTAATTATTTTTTTAATTTTTCAAAAATTTTTATTTATTTGAATTCAACCATAAATTTTAAAATAATATAAATTTGAATGAAAATATTTAATTAATATAAAATATATTAATAATAAAATATAAATAAGTTTCTATCAATTACAATAGATATTTTAATAATATTATTAGTAAAAAAAGGATTAATTAATGCTTTATTTTTAATTTACTTCTTTAATTAAATAAATTTATATCTCAAGTTTATTAAAGCAACAAGTTTTTAAATAATAAAAAGGTTATAATTATTTATATTAAAATCTTTTTACTTTTATTATTTTAGTTAAACCAAGTTTTGATAATAAATTTTTTTATTTTAATTAAACTTGAGGTAATAAGTTCTTTAAGTTAATATTATATAAATGTTTTAAATAAACAAAAGTTTTAAATAATATAAATAGAAAATTAAATTAAAATTAGAATGGTTAATTAGAAAAAAATATTTTAATAAATTATTATTATTATTAAAAAATTTTTAAGAAGTAAATTTTTGAAATAGTTAAATAAAAAATTTTAAAAAAAAATTTTTTCTTTTTATTATAATATTTGTATATTTTTAAATATTTGGTTTTTTTTTTAAACTTATTTATTTTATAATTTAATAGCTTAATAAATATATGATAATATAAACTTGATGATTCTTATAAAAGAACCAAAAAAGATTCAATTCAAATTCTATTACTAAATAAAAATATTGTTTTCAAAATTAAATTTAGTGACTTTTATTTTTTATAATAAGTTTATTAAATTGAATAATTAATTTAATTATACTATATATATATTATATTACTTTAATAAATGTACTTGGGTATTTAATTAATTAATAAATTATAGTTAATTCAAGTATTAGTATTGCAAATAAATAAACAAATAAAATATTATTTAAGAATACAATATAATATTTGATATAAAACTGGAAAAAATTTTCTCAAAATATTTGAAAATGAGCTTATAGCAAGAATAATTTATAAAAAAATAGAAATAAATAATAATATAAATTTAATAATAGGTTAGAAAACTTTTAACAAGATAAACATAAATAAGACAATATATAACAATAATCTAGAGTAAAAATTTAAAAAGATACTTAAACATTTAATCACTGAAAATAATAAAGAATCAATAAATAAATTTATATATAACCAATATAATAGAATAAAATTTGATAATTCAAAATTGAAATAAAAATCAAAAAATAAATAAGATACAATATGAATTATTTTATCAAATTTTGAAAAATCAAATGGTAGCATGAATAAAATAGAAAGAAAGATAAATTAGATCTTTAAGAAAAAAGAAGAAGTGTGAACTGTTATTGAAAAGTATACTAGTTCTTTTTGATAAATAGAAAAATAATAAATCCAATATTTTTTCAATAAAAATTACCAATAAGGGCATAAACAGATCTTTATTTAGCCAAAGTAACTTCATGCACCTAACACTCCATAAATCTACTTTACAAAAGAAAACCATTGCCACCATATAACTACATAAAATTCCTTAATCTCACGTGACCCAAACAGGGGTTAGTATCATAGATATTATCGAAGAAAAGAAATTGATACTTTGCAATTCTGAATATTGAGATTGCTTGTTAAGATCAAGCGCATACACGAGGATTTGAGCTATCTTCTTTAGATATTTGCTAGAGTTTGATCCGATCTCATGTCTGCGTGTCCTGAACACAAAATACATATCTGTTAAGTGGAAGGGTATGATTTTAATCTTTGACAAATGTAAAAAGAGGAGAGGGAATGTTTTGCGAGGGAAGGTTTGGTCATTTGGATGCTCGATGATTAAAATCATTGAAATCATGAATGTTGCAAGTACGATTGTACACATCCACATAACTATTATAGTCTTCTCACAGTCACGGTGTTACTTAAAATACGCATTTCACCATCTCCATCATACCTTTTGTGACAGTATATTGATGATCCAAAAGGAATGTCGAGTACAACGCGAGACGAAGTCGTACGCAAGTAAAGCACGCCCCAATATTTGCGTGGCTTCTCGTTTGAAATGTCAGAGTGGCTTCTTAACGCAAAAGATTCGAACTTTGTTGAGCTGTTAACGATAATGAAATTTCAACTTACCGGGAACTTGAAGCGCGTAAAATAACACATTGTTTTCCAAAAATTTTGGGTTAGACTCTAGGAAGAAGTAGGATTCGAAATGCGTGGCTTAGCCACCAGAACAATTAAATCTTGCACTACAACATAGTCACATAGTGTTTTCTACGTATAACAAGGAGTTTGGCTTTGATGATGAAAGCCACAGGTGGCGAACATATCGTGATGAGGCTTCATAATTTTTAAAAAATATTAATATCGAATCACCCTGGCGCAGAACCTTTCATCTAGTTGAGCTTGATTATGAGAGAGGTAAGGCTGTGTTACGGTGTGCGTATATCCATGCGTTCATAGTAACTTAATTCTATTATTTAGTATGGAGTACATTGACTTGAGCAATTAGTATGAAGCATATTTGTTGTCAAACATTGTTTGTGTTTGTTATGCGGAATTCAGAATAATAAACAGCCCAATTTTATAATCCCAGAAAGAAAGAGAAAAAAATGATCACTCTTTTGTTTTGTTTTTTTTTGGTTTCTTCGTCACAGTTTATTCCATGTTTATTCTGAAGAAAAATAATTTAATTAAGGAATTTAAGAAAAGGAGATAATTTTAATTAAGATAAACAAGTAAATAATAATTCCACATGATTATTCGATCCGTTTTTCAACTTCTCTTTGCGATTATCAACGAGTTTTATATCTATACGACGCAGGATTCTATCTAAATATTTACATCTAGCGTAAAGAAACACAGCATGAGAAATCAATTTGGTCGCGACGATGGTGACGCGGAATATCATAAGGGTATGGATTTAACAACTGAAAAGGAAATAAAATGACGAGGTGATAGAGAACGTGGTGATATAAACCTAGGGTTATAAACGACATCGTGGTTTCCAGTAATGTAATGATGATCACATCATATTTGACTTCATACAGGAAAGAAGCCAACAACATCCACGGATTTTGAACACCGTCACAACGACTACTCGACAAAAAGAAGAAATCTCATACTGTATATTGTCACGTTTGCCGAAATATTAACGCCGATCGCAAATACGTGAGTAGTGGTAAATGGTAAATCGACGAGTATTATACCGTCACCGATTCGTAACACGTGCAACGAAAATAACGCATTCTCTTTTTTTGTTGACAGAATATTTTATCCTGCAATAATAGACATTCGTGCTGATTTAAAAACTAGTGAGGTTATGGTCAACACGTTACGTATGTAGGAATAAACACATTCCATCAAGGTTCTCTTTTTTTTTTTAAAAAAAAAAAATTATTTTTCTATAATGAACACGAAACCATCTTAACATAAGTTTTTATTTCGGGCATTGACACGTTGTAGTCGGTGTCTACATCTTATTTTGGGGATTAGGGGTGAGTGCATAGTGCCGACACAGTACCTATAAGATTCCTATACGATTAGATTTCCGAGTGACACTTTTTTCTTTTCTATTCTTTTTTTTTTTTTTTTGCACCAGTCATTTTTTTGGACTCAATACTCGGAAACATATGGAATCCGAAGAAATATATACTTGACCTCTTTTACGTTGTTCATATGCGCAAGCATTGTTAGCGCGATCTCAATGAACGTTTGGTTGTTGATTGCTATGCGTGTTCTTCAAGCCTGCGGTGCGTCAAGTGCGATTTGTATCGGCGCTAGCGTGTTAAATGATATATTTGAACCGAATGGTGAGAAATCGTGTTTAAATTTATCATCTTTGAATTCCCCAATTACTCCTTTCACATATGCTATCTGATCGATAATATAGATAAGAGCTTCGCGTTCGGAATATACTTTGTCGGATACTGCATTGGAGATTTAGTCGGTCCCGTAATAGGTGGATATGTAGACCAGTACTTTGGGTGGCGATGGATAAATTGGTTTCTCACCGTCTACGTCGCCTTTCTCTTCCTACTCGTCTCCATATTTGTCCCGGAAACCCATCGTCTACACTCATCCGGAACTCACCCGCCTCGTCCGCCACCCTCCATGCGAATATCCTTTAATCCTTTAGAACCTCTTCGCCTTTTAACCTACCCAACCGTTTTACTTATGGTCATTTACATAACTATAATAATGGTGATACTGTTTTTCCAAAATATCTCTATTCCCGTGCCATTTACCAAAATATATAAACTTCCTACCCATCTGATCGGCCTGATTTATCTTCTGCCGGGATTTGGAAGTGTCCTCGGGTGCATCATAGGTGGACGGTTTTCTGACTATATGGTGGAGAAATCACGGGAGAAAGGGGAAGATGGGAATATGAAGACAATACCGGAGAAGCGGATAAATAGTTTTTGGATTGGTGCATCATTGATTCCGGTGTCCTATGTGATGTTCGGATGGGCATTGGAAACGGAAATTCATATTTCTGTGCCGCTGATTGCTCTATTTGTTGGTAAATATTTTCTAAGAGGCGATTTTAACTTGATTTTTAGGCTATTTTAAAACAATTCTTGATATTCAGGTGGATACAGCATAAGTATGGTATTTTCTTCGGCCGTTGCCTACCTAGCGGAAGCACATTTACCACACACCACCGCGGTAATGACGTTAAGCGATTCGTCGGTATACACATTCTCAGGGATAATGACAGTGGTGGCATCTCCATTATTAAACTCCTTTGGATACGGATGGGTGTTTACCGCGCTAGCGAGCATTAGTTTTTGTGGAATAATACTTTCAATGTTGGTTTATTTCAAAGGAAGAGGTTGGCGAGAGAGGTGGTTTGAAAGACGGTGAATTACATTGTTTGATATATTTTATGTATATTTTGTGCTTTTCTTTGTGGTGTCGTATCGTTTTCTTATATACAGTACATATACATTGTATAGTATGTGCATGATATTTTTACTATATTATACAATGATTTTGATTTTGGTGTGAATAAGAGATATTGCATTATTCGTATAAAGCAAATATAAACAGGATCTTGATAACAGTAACAATTTGATATTTTTTTCTTCGTCACAGGCATAAATACAGTATGTTCGAAAAGTGATTATGTATGAAGCGACATTTGCGTCAAAATGGTATGCATGGTATCATCTATGTTTCCTGCAAAGGTTAAATAATTAATTTTACTTGAAGATAACAGTATGGCGGTTCCTTTGTTTAAAACGTAATGTGCACCAACCGACAATTCCGAGCATTAAACTTGAGATTTGAGGGTAACACTCGGCAAATAACGAAGGAACTAATTACTTCGATCTAACAAAGTCGCGAAAACAATGCATCACGGAAGTTCGTGATAACAAAAAAAGTAATCCCCTTTTTTGAAACACGACTTAAACGCACGAGTAGAGAAACTTTGTTCAGTGCGCAATAAGGTATCATTGGTTGATTGGATTCTTCATTTTTATTGGTAAGGAAATAGTTATGGGATAATGACGATCATATGTGTAAAAAATTAATAATATTAATATAAAAATAATAATACTGTATATTAAAACTTATAATCAATTTATTATTATTTTTTACTATAATAAATATATTTAAGTATTATCTATACTGCATATAGTATCTAAACTAGATCTTTTATTAATAAATTTATCTTAAGTTAAAATTTTTAAATTTGATCCTAAAAATAATATAATATTTTATAAGTACTTTGAATACATATTCTTCTAATACTTTTTAAAAATTTAATATTTTTTTAAATCTTTTTTTTCAGTAAATTGATAATTTTATTAAAATATTTGTTTTTCTTTTGACTATTTGAAGAATTTATGTATTTTTTATTTTAATTTCTTTCATATATATTATTTAAAAAAACTTATTATCTATCAAAACCATTTTTTTTAAAAATATATTTTTTTAACTTATTTTGAATAATAATTTTATATTTATTTTAATAACTTTAAATTTTATATAATCTAATAATATTATAATATTTCATAATAATTATATCTGATTAAAAATTTTTTATTTCTTATTAATCAAAAAAATTAATACTTTTTTATTTTATAAATGTATAAAAGGTTATGATTTAATAAATAATAATAAGAATATTCATTATAATATCTTTTAATAACTTTTAGAAAATATTTTATTTTTTATTTTTATTTTTTAAATTACAACTAATATTAGATGCAAGTAAAAAAAAATATTTTTTTTATTATAATTATAAAATCAAAATTTAATATAAATTAAAAATCAATTGATTTTACTAATTAATTAAAATAAAAGAAAAACCATAATTTTAAATTTTATTTGAATGAAATAATGAGATAAAAAATCTTAATATAAATAGATTAAAACTTTTATATTATTTAAAAATTTAAATTACTTAATTTTATTGATTTTATAAAAATTAATTATAATAAAATAACTTACTTTAAAAATATATATATATATAAAACTTTTTTAAATATTAAATTTTTTTTTTTTTAATCTGCAATCAAACCAATATGACTTGTCTATTTTATTATAAACATATTTGATATTTACATATTTTATAACTTTCACATATTGACTCACCTATCTACAAAGTTTAAACTTCTCTTGATGCAACTTAGAAAATGATATTTTGTACCCTTTATAACTTGAATTATCCTTTGGCCACTTAGATCATTGTCTACAATTCATCATTACAGATCTTCCAAAGTTCTAACTATAATTAAAAATCAAACTATTTAAAATCTTTGGATATTCAACTACTTATTATATTGACTATATTGTCTTATGATTTCATTAATTTTGAGTCTTTTTCTTCTTCTGTTATATTTCTGAAAGATAGAATAGATGAGTAATTAGTTTCTTTAGGAATTTGATCCATTTTTCTAGTCATATAAACTAATACTCTAAGCCTTTTGAGTTTATTAATAATTCTTTGATTTTATTTTTATTCGATAGTAATGTTACAGTGCTTATTCTAAACTTCCTTCTTGAAGGTTTTTTCATTTTTTTATAAAATTTATCAATGGTTTCTTGTATTGTTATCATTGGAATCTTGAGGACTTTGAAATGCTCTTTCAGAATCTTAATCTTGTCTCCATATATAAAGCCACAGACTGTATTATATAAGCTTTCATCCTGTTATTTAATATTCTAAATTTATTTTTTTGTTTCTCTTTTAACTTACCTGACTTTCATTAGATAGATCTTTTATTTTTTTGATATAATAAAGAATTTTACTTTAGAATTTGTTCCATATAATTGATTTTTTGCTTTGAGTTTCAGGATATTCAAAAATATGTTTCAGGATTTTCTCTTGCAATTTACACATTGAGTATATTATATTTGAATATAAGTTTAGTTTTCTTTTCTGCATTACTTGAAGGGTGAAAAGCTCATCATGGATTATATTTATCAAAAAGCTCTTATCCTTATTATTACTAAAAGAGATGTAAAAGGTATTATATAGCTTGATTGGTTTCAGAAAATTTGCTATTCAATTCCTTTATTAGGGTATGTTTATCAGTCTTGGATACATTTTTTCTTAATCAAAGCTAGTTCTATTTTCTTTATGTTTTATTTTTAAGAAAATCTCTAATACTGATATCAATAGTATATTCTTTTTAGGCTACTATTGTAAGAAATTGATCAAAATCAGATGTTTGTTGTCAAATCAAAGGGTTTTCTTTTCTGACCTGCTTTACTAATCTATTTACTATATTGTTAAACTTATTGTTTTGATAGGTCTTTATTTTTTCAAATATGAGGTAACAGTTTTTCTTTTATACTAGGTCCTTGTTTTAGTTCCATAGTGGCTAATTGATTATTTTAATCTATTTTCTTATGAAAATAAACTTTTGTGACTAGACTGTCTTCCATATATTAATAACTGTATTACAATTTATATATATAGTTACTTTTCAATTTTCAGGTATTGTAAAAATTGCAGTAAGTATAACTAGGATTTCTGCTTTTATAGTTAATAACCATGATATTGTATCTACTAAAAATTGGTTAGTTATTATGTTGTTTTTAATTTGAATTTATACAAGATCCATTTTGAATTCATTCACACTTTTTGTATATTGTTTGTATTATCCATCAGTAAAGAAAGTGAATTACTTTATGTTTCTTTTATAGTTGTATCTAAAACTCTTTATTAGGTCTGTCATATGCTTCTTTGATTGTATGACTGTTTAATCAGCTTGACTTCCCAATTCTCTATTTGTATCTTAATCTCTTCTGGTTTCAACAAATATATAGTACTTGATCCATTTATTGATACTGTGAACTATCAGTCTATAGGGTTTTCTGAAAGTGTGAGTAGATTCTTTTTCCTAATACTTTTTTACTTATTTAGTTGTGATAGTAATTAGGTTTGAGATATGGATGAAATTGTTGATTATTTGGATGTATGAGAATGACAAGTAATACTATTTGTGATAAGATTGTAGGTGAGCTAATGTGGTGTAAAAAGTACTTCTTTGTTTTGTATTTTGATTTTCACTATAGTAGTTTCTATTGTTTTGACCAAAACTCCCCAATTGATTTTTCATTTATTAGTTTTATGAACCACTTTTACAATTTGAAATTTATATTCAGTCCATTTTAGAATTGGTAAAACTGTTTCAACAAGTCTTGTTGTTCTGTTACCTTTACTTTAATTTGTGTTTATCAGCTTGGAATAAGATCTTTACAAGTATTAGCAAATATTTGAACTGCTCTCCATTCTCTTATTGTTAGTGTAGAAATATTAATTAACTGATCCAAAAACATTATTTTGTTTCTTTTTAGAGAAAGGGTAGCTTTCATGTATTCTTTCTCATCATTTATAATTGTCTTGATAGACATGATGTCTTCTTGAGTATCAAAGATCTTTTTTTATTTCCAGCTGTTATATATAATTTTTTTATCATAGCCAGAGTTGCAGCAGCAAGGTTATCTTTCTGGATTGTCTTGACTTCTACTGAATCATCAAGTATATTTTTGGGCTTCCAATATTTGAGTTGATTTGTTTAAGTCAGATAGTTGTTGCAATTTCTAAAGCTTCACTATTATTTAGTTGATAAAATAGTGTTGTTATATAACTTTCAAGTTGGATTTCCCATATACTTTTGAATCTATAGATTTGTTTATTGTATATATAACTATTTGGTATTATTCTACAAATTAGGGTTTTGTTTTTTAAAGCTTTTCTATATATGGCTATTAAATCATTGCAAATTTTCTTATTCAAGTATGTGTGCTACATTTTATACTCTATATAAAGGATTAGAACTCTATTGATAATATACCTGGCATAAGTTATGTAAAAGTTGCCTCCATCAAAATCTCCTTCACTGCAAGCAAATTCTTTATCGTTAACAGATCGTATTCCTCTCAGACAAGTAGCTGCAATTGCATGGTCCAAAAAATTAAGATTGGTGTGGGCAAACTTGTTGTATCTCCAGGCTACATAGGCCTCACATAGACCTAAAGGATGGTTTAAATATATTTTTTTATTATTGAAAGAAACTGTAATTCCTTTATCAGTAGCACTATATTTGTTGCTATTTAGCCGGGGTAGATAGTACTCTTTTATTTTTTTTTGTATACTTGAGGTCACATCTTTAGGAAATATATGCATGGCATAGTTGAAAAGAAAACTATTCATCACTACAACTTTCTCTTCTTGCAAATATTGCCTTTCAGACCCTCGTAATTCAATAGGTATGTTATGCACATGGATAAATATTCCACTTTCTCTTGTTGAAAGATATCTACA